AAGCTGAAGATGAGGAGCAGATCTGTCTAGCTGCAACGTGGAGTTGTATTGTAAGGTAGCTAAGCACTGAGGCTGGAGAGGGAGGCAGCTGGGTAATAATCTATGAAGAGTTCCCACCAAAATCAGTTATGGAAGCCAAATTCATGCCCTTTGTGCTGTGAGAATATCCCAAATGAAAATACAAAAGCAGGCTAGATTGGAGAGATGAAACTCAAGTTCCCAGCAAAAGGTCCAAACTGAGACATTTGTAGGACTCATTGTACACAGACTCACTCCACGGCAGGAGTGAAGGGAACCCTCATAAATAGTGTTCACCAGTAACAATTATCAACCACAGGAAGAAAAATTCTGTTGTGTGTAAAGTTCAGAAGAAACAAAATTAAGCAGATGAGCACTTCAAGAGCTTAAAATGTTAGAAGAGCCTTTAGGGGACGGATAAACAGGTTCATAATTACTTTAAAGTAAAGTAAAAAGTAGTAATACAGCAAAAAACTTACAAGCCTGACAGAAGAAAAGATTGGTTTGTAAGAAAGTAAAATGTTTAGAAATCACAAAGCTAACTGAAATGTAAAAAACCACCAGTGATTTCTTTACAAATGGGTTATCAGTGCACAGAGAAAAATATGTAGACTATATCTCAGAATGAAGAGGCTAGTGGTGAGTGAGGGCGTGGCAGATAAACTCTTGAGGTGGACCCAGTGCTGTGCCTCCTTGTATACCTTCTTTGGTCCATTCCTTCTCTGTGCAGATGAGAGCTGTCAGGCTTCTAACCCACAGAACATACTAAAGGTCACAGGATGAGATGCTAAGCATTGGGCCTAGGTGACAAGGGTGTACTGCTTTTAGTTTAAGGAAATAACATTGCAGAGCAACAGACAAATACCACAAATGGCTTGTACACAGGTATCCATTGAACCACAAAATTCAATATATCTACAATATGAATCTCAAGTTTATATTTTGAGTCCAGATTGAACCAAGTTTGAGATAGTAGCACATACAAATTGTATTATAGTTGTCCTTCAAAGCTTTATAGTCATTCACTTATTCAGTGGATCAATCTTTCAAATAGCTTTCACCATGTTGAACTTGCACCCTACAGAACTGCACTTTGTCGCCAACAATCATTAGGTCAGATGGCTGGCTTCAGACTTTATTCTTGGAGACCTGTGTTTGCATTTGGTACTGCACTTGGTATCGATTTAAAAATCTCCTTTCACTGGTCCATGTTACTAGGGTAGCCTCTTCACTGTCCTTTAATCCATTTCTATGTAGAAGTTCAAGTGATCTTTGAGAGTGTAAGTATAATTGTTACTTTTTGGACTGAAGCATTTCAAAGACTCCCTAATGTTCTTAGGATGAAAAGCCATCATCTTGCCCTGACTTGTAAGCTTTCTCCCACTTTGTTCTGCAGCTTAGTCTTCCCATGCTCTCCCTCTGCTTTCCAGCCACACTGTCCAACCTTTACAGCTTTCCCTGCCTGGAATATTGTCTGCCCATCTTTCCTTTCCAACCAGGTTCCTACTTACCTTCAAATTTCATCATAGTATTTAGCAAGCTGGTCTTCTCGACATTCTGCAGCCAGCTTTAATTTTGAACAAAAATTCCTTGCTGCACAGGCTCCAAAGTGGACACCTACTTCCATCACAACACTGGCTGAAGAATTGCCCCTCTTGATTTATCTGCCTTCCCTACCTTCCGTTCCTTTTGGCTTTATGTTGGCAAGCATCATGTCTAGTTCATGGTTGTTTTCCCAGGAATTGCCAAGGCATGTCATATTATAAGTATTCATTAAATCATTTGTTGAGTAAGTAAAAAAGGTTGTGAAGCGCAATAAAGCCATATGTATTGGAACTGGCATTAGCAGTTGAAATAGAATTCTTCTCTTAATTATTAAATTCAAATTGTATGTAGCACCACTTCCAGAAAAATCTTTAATTTTGAAGTATTAAGATAAATAACTTCTATGTCAGGAATCTTTTAATGAAAAAATTTGAATGAGAGAGACTTTTATTAATGTATTATTGAAAAAAGAGTAATTGGGAAAATGATGTACTTAAAAATGACTTCTCATGATCCCGACCCAGATTTCTGAACCAATACTACCTGAATTTACTTTTCTCTTTACAATCAAAACATGGCATTTCTCTAAAGCCCCATTTTCTCTACTTCTCTTTTCTTTATTGGAGAGAGGGTGGTTAAATCCACTCCCCATTTACACACTCACAAAGGAGGAAGACCATCAACACCCATCACAATACGGTGGGGTACATGTTAAAGATGAAACACCAGCAAAATGAAATGACATTTTATTCAGTCTGTCATAGAAATCTGATCTATAAGAACATGTGTGAATAACCAAGTGAGTGAACTTCTGTCCCTTAGGTGAGATGATCCTTCCTCATGACCAGGTCAAACTAAGACCAGCTTATATAAGACAACAGTAAGAACCAGTGAGCTTGTGATAGAAGCAATGTAAGTCAACAGTAAGAACCAGTGAAGTTGTGGTAGAAGCAATGTAAGTCAAGAGTAAGAACCAGTGAGGTTGCAGTCTGTTTTAGAATCACTTGCCTGACAAGGAGAGTCCATGGAATCTGGCCCTCGCTGTCATGGTGTTTATTTGCAATGGTATATATGGGGAAAGAGTAATGAAGAGATGAGTACTCATATGTGTTTCTGGTGTGTGTGTGTGTGTGTGTGTGTGTGTGTGTGTGTGTCTGTCTGTCTGTCTGTCTGTCTGTCTGTCTGTCTGTCTATGTGGGTATGCCTGCTTGTGGATCTTTTACTGTGTAACCCACAGTCCAAGCAAATAAAGACATGTGCCACCAGAGAATGACAAACAGAACATGCAGAAGAAAAGACTTTATTTTTCTGTGAAAATGTGTAAAATCCTTAGTCACATAAATATACTTGAACTATAGAGAAATAAGGATAATAGAGAGAGTATTTAGCAAAAAGCTATCAAATGATAAGACAGTTGAAAAATCGAAGAGCAATTGGCAATTACAGTGATAACAGAAGAATTAGAACTGTACAGAGAAAGACATTATGGATAAATACTCCTTAAATATATTCTGTAAGGAACAGATCACATCCAGAATGGTCTGTAAGTACACAGTTGAAGATATGTGTAGAAGAGAGTGAGCATGAAACTCTACATATGGTCCTTGACTAGAATCTACTTAATACATATTACAATACTTAGGAATGCAGCCGGGCGGTGGTGGCGCACACCTTTAATCCCAGCACTCAGGAGGCAGAGGCAGGCAGATCTCTGTGAGTTCGAGGCCAGCCTGGTCTCCAAAGTGAGTTCCAGGAAAGTCGCAAAGCTACACAGAGAAACCCTGTCTCAAAAAACAAACAAGACAAAACAAACAAAAAAAACAATACTTAGGAATGCAAATACTTTTGGAAAAGTTTCCCTAAGTTCCTGGCCACAAAGTCCTACTTTACACGAGGCTATTTGAAGCTGTGGTGTGAACACAAAGACTTACATGTGAGGAGAACAATGAGAAGGAACACAAGGGCTCAACGTCACTACGAGTTTGAAATGATTGCCACAGGGTGAGGGCTGCTACATACAATTTATAACTAGTATGGAATGGCAAAAGAATGCAGTTTATTTGTGTTCATAGTACATTATCTTGTCCTTTGTCTGACCGGTGTATTTAGATTCACCTTGGTATTTCCACAGCAAAAGAACTTCCATAAAGCCATCATGACTTAGTGAGCATTGACAGCATGCAAAGGAAGTTACCCTCATGCTTTCAAACCAGGGCAGCTCCGGAAGACATAGACACATTGACAGAAGGGCATCTTGTGGGCCACAGCTGTTTCAGTGGTGTCATGAGTTTATTCAGCAGGTCAAAATGTTTCCCCCTCAATGAACACTAATAACATCTCCTTTGGAAATATACCCTACCCAAAGATATTAAGCATGAATAATCGGCCAGGGAAAACTTGATGGAAAAGTCAAACCCCCCACAAATGTATCAGTAGATAACAAAGAGTTTTCAACTGCAATGGAAAAAAAGGTGAAACTTTAAATGAAAGACATAGAGAAAAGGCTATCTGCTGTTTTCTGATGGAAAGAATGGCCCTTGAAATCAGAAATGATGCTTGAGAGGGATAATGTGAGCACTGACCCTAGGTCATCTTTCTCCCACATTATTGGAAATAAACTCCCCTCTTCTTCATGAAGAAAAGAACTGCCCACAGTTCATTAGAATATCTTTTCATAAAGACACACATGACTATAAAAATGTTCATGGATATTATCAAATTTTCATGTTACCTATAAATGATGAGAATGAAGAGCACACACCAAATTAGAAAGAGGTAAACTGTAAACAGGAAAAGAAGGACATGTAAAAGTGGAGTGGAGAGAGATGGTTTTCTAATCACAGTGAAAACCATTCAATACGGAAGCATTAAGGATAACAGGGCCTTAGGACTCACTACAGCGGGTAGTGATATATTTCTAGCTATATTAAGAACACTCTTGGCCGGGCGGTGGTGGCGCACACTTATAATCCCAGCACTTGGGAGGCAGAGGCAGGCAGATCTCTGTGAGTTCAAGGCCAGCCTGGTCTACAGAGTGAGTTCCAGGAAAGGCGCAAAGCTACACAGAGAAACCCTGTCTCGAAAAACGGAAAAAAAAAAAAAAAGAAAGAAAGAACACTCTTTTCACTTAAAAAAAGTAGCATAGGAAAATATCTTATAAAGACTTGAAGTGCTTATGGTGTGCTTAAAAGAGGTTTGAATGCATTTTCATCCTCAAGATGTATTTTACCTCATTTCCCAGAGACCTATATTGAGACAGGGCATTTCTTGCAAGTCAATCTTTTACCACTTGGGAATGCTCAATGCGTGTGTTAATAATTATCCTGGGCACCCCACTCTACAACTGGCTCGTCATTCATGCGCAGAACCAGGTAGGACAGGAGCTGAAAGAGGTTTTGCCACAGTAAGAGGGACACATAAAAGGAAAGGCCGCTTACGTCCAGTTCACAGCGCTCGCCCGAGAAGGCCACGTCACAGATGCACTGGAACCTGTTGACCAAGTCCCTGCACAGGCCTCCATGGAGGCAGGGATCAGAAGCACACTCATCGATGTCCTCTTCACACCTTGAGAATGAATGGAAAAGCAGAAGCCCAGGCAGGGCTGGGTGAATAAGCGAGCTGTGAGATGGAGCGATGGTTTGTCTCTCTCCCTAACATGGCACAGAGTGATCACCAATTCTACTCAATTATACATACCGGAGAATTTCAAAGATTCCTCAAGAGCCCTTTATTACATTTTGAGTTTTGTGGAAATTAGTCACAGAGATGGACAGACAAGAACACACACGTTGATTTAATTAGAATAAGAAAATGACTGCAAATATTTAGAAGCCCTGTTTGCCCCTTAAGAACACTGTTGGGTTTGCTGCCTTATAAATGCTAGCTTTATTAGGAAGACACTGGCAGGGTGACTTTGCTGGCCTGGCATCTACAGGTCAGAGGAAAACCTGACTGTGAAGGTTCTGTCTCCGACTTGGTTAATTCTAGGAGATGCTGAATTATTTTCCTTTGAAATTACATTTTTTTAACATGAACAAAAGTAAGAAACCAGCTAATAAATCTGTGTTCTAGTGGTGATGCAGAACTCTGAATGTTCTAGTAAGTGCTTTCAAATACGACTTTTCTGAAAGAAGTAACACCCACACTAAGGTATTTGAGTACCGGGACACTGTCCGCCTCCTTTTCTTCCAACATTTTTTTCTTTTGATTTTTTTTTAATTGACTTATGAACACAGAAATGGCATGCACTTGTGTGGCAAATGTGTGTGTGTGTGTGTGTGTGTGTGTGTGTGTGTGTGTGTGTGTGTGTTACGTGTATGTGATATATTGATACTTTGGTGTAATGTTCTTATCAGGTTGAATAAAATGGTAGCACATCTTTCTATTGTCCTTTCAAATTAGTTCTTCTTGGGTTTTGGAATGTTGTTATGTGTAGTGAACAAATCCTTGGTCTGGACATCCATGGATTAATTCAGTAGTTTTACCTATCCTGTGCTAAGGCCTCAGGGCAGAGCAGTGGTAATGGCATTTGTATTACTTTAGGAAACTCATGAAATCTTAGCCCCAGGATCTCTGCAGAATAGCTTATGCTGTAAACTGTTTTTAATCTCCACTTCCCCAAAAGTAGAACTTCCATGTGTGCTAGAGACTTCTCACCAGGCTCAAATGCTAGGGCTGAGGTAGAGGAGCTGGGAGATCCCTGGTGTGACAGAAACAGCAACTTGTTCCAAGGAAAACAGCTCCTTATCCACAGGATACCAAGCATAGCTGAGGCCCTATTTTCCTTTTATGGCCCTGGCTTCTGGGCTGGAAGGAGGCTTCTCTGATTAGATCCCAGCCAAACTTGACAACTCTCAGGAGCTTGCCAAGCACTCTGTGTCCTGGGTGGCCAGCGCTCACACCATCCATCATCTGAACCTGCTGGGATGACACTATGAAGCTGGAGGCTTAAGCAGGCGGAACAGCTTCTTCATATCCTCCACTGTGTGGAGGTCTTGCTGCTCTAGGCCTTCGGGGACTGTCTAAACACTTGTAGTTCTTCCTTCTGCTACTCTTTCATTTCCTTATCAATTTCTGTTTTGAGCAAAAACAGTTGATACTTTCACGACAAATGCCAGTGAAGCTATTATTAGAAAATAATATGACTGAGTTTAGTGGCCCATTCCCGAAATCCCAGCAACGGGACAAGACAGACAGAAAGGTAACAGCAAGTTTAAGATGAGCCTGACCCATGTAGCAAGCTCTAGACAAACCAGAGTTAAAATGAGACCCTATCTCCAAAGAAAAAACAAAGTAAAACAAACAAAGAAGATGATAATTAATAGATGGAAAGTCAAAGAAAAATCATTAAGCTCTTCTGAATTGACTAATGGTGCTTAATGTGTTTGCAAAATCGGGATATATTAAACATACATTCACTGTTTGAAATAATTTTTCAACAATGAAGTTTAATAGGATGAAAATCCCCCCAGGAAAGAAATGGAAATTAGTAACCCTTTCCCCATCTTAGTAATTTAAATGGCAAGAATGAATTTGAAAATTGGTATGTATCAGAGGAAACAGAAATACTTATAGCAAAAAAAAGTTCAAGGTATTGGATGAATCCTATTCATTGTATTGTTAATAGGAACTAATATTAAGCCAGGAACAAACCAGCATTTAAAGATAGTAAAGAGTTATCTACATTTAGGACAAAGATATATTTATAATATTTTGAAGATGTAAAACCAGAGGTCAACTGAATGCTGAGTTAATATAATAGCTGCATGTCATATTGTGATAGACTGGAAAGTGGATGTGACATCTCTACTTCCTTTCACACACAGATATATCTAGATGTCTGTATCTTATTCTAGTCTCTAGGAGATGGAGGAACACATTGTGTATTTTGTTTTAATTGTACTGAGCAAACACTTACTCATGAAACCACGGCAGCATTCCCAATAGAGGAGCACAGGCTTTGACGGCAGGTCAACTTCATTGTTGCACACATCTATTTCAGCATCAATCTGTCACTTAACCTTCATTCACCTTCACACACACACACACACACACACACACACACACACACACACACACACACACACACACACACTGAAAACAAAACCATCTTGCCTGCAGAGCTCTAAGAAGTAGGGATGATATTGTAAGGTGCATGGAGCAGTGTTAAACAAAGGTTATGTTTTATCTGCATACGTAATGCCTGTTCCCACAGACTCCTATTTTGTATCTGTCTGGGGGATGGAGATCTCTTTGGAGATCTGATCAAGGCAAGGAGAATGTTCTCTCTTCCCCTTGACCACACTCCAGCCAGTCAAATGTATATACAACTTGGCTTGCATCCGCAGCTGGTCACAGATAGTCTGATTCCAGTGGCAGACCACGAGCAGGTGAAGAGTTGAAGGATTCTCTGTGAAAGGAATAGTTAGTTCCCTGGGTAAGGGGTACATATACTTTAGGGTGTAGTTAATCGTATAAGGTATCTTTTAAATGCATTTTATTTTACTTTAAAAGTAACCATATTTTAAAATCATATAATAGAGTTAGTTGGGGGAGGGCAGGACTCCATGAATCCAGAAGTACTTATTGGAAAGAATAATAAAACATTATATATTTTAAAAAATCATATTTTCCTATTTGAAGTCTTGGCTGGTAAAATATTCTGTACTTTGACCTATACTGTAATTTTTCTTCTTTTCTATTGCTTGATTCTGTCTGGACCTATATTTCAACATAGATTTTCCTGTGGGAACTGAAATGAAAAATTGGAGGAGAAAATGAACTCTGGGCAATCCCCCTGTTCTTTAGCTCAGAACTTTTGTCCATAAAGTTCTAGTGTGACTCACCGCTCTCCAGTGAAACCTGGCCGGCACATACATTTCCAGTCCTCCTGGACCTCGGTACAGTTGCCTCCATTGGAGCAAGTGAGATTTCTCTCCTCGTTCCCACAGACTGTCGAGGGCAATCTGCTGTGTCTAGAGAGATAAAAGTCATGGCCACAGCTGTTTATCTTGTTCATTTCATTCAAAAAATTTTTTGAGAAGTTCATATATGTAGTCAATGTTAGGCTAATTAAGTACTGAGGCTGGAGGAATGATAAATGCTGGATTGTGCTGCATTGTACAAATACCACGTTCTCCAGCAAAAAGCCCCTGCTGGAGGCTTCTGCAACCAACATGGCCATCCATCTTCTATTCTCCACCGCGGTTCCTGCATGAGATAAGATCTACGGCATGGGGTGGCAGTAAATTTAGGGCTGGGAAGGAGCTCGCATAGCTAGATCTGCAGCTGCTTTTCCAATAAATCAACAGAGGCCATAGGAAAATTGCATCTCTATAAAGGCCAGGAAAGCAAGGAGAACACGCTGGTACTCAAGCACTCGTGTGATTTCTCTGTTGGCTTTCAGAGCTGAACTACAGTTGCCCTGCCAAGACTTGCCTGCTCCCTCTCTCATAATTCATAGCTTTGCACAGTGCAAGCCAAGTGCTGTCCAGGAGGTTTGTGTATAATACTCAATGTAACTGCATGTGAGTTCAGCATGTGGCTCCTTGTACAGCAGCAAAGCTGAACAGGCTGAAGAAGCCACATAAAAGGAAGAACAGACTGTTAAAGGCTAAGAAAACACTGCTAGACAAAAATCTGTAGGCTTGAAAGAGCTGATTTTAAATAGATTTTAAAAGTGTTGCTCAGGTCCTTTGGCTGTGTGTGTGTGTGTGTGTGTGTGTGTGTGTGTGTGTGTGTGTGTGTGGTGTGATCAGATACAGAATAAATATTCGGGAAGTGGAAAGCAACTTCACTCTCATTCTGTTGTGCACTGAAGCTAACACAGAGAAATCTAGCAGCATGATGGTATAAGGGCGTGTCTTTTCAAGAGAGCTAATCAATTCCACTTCAAAAAGAAAATAACATAACGACATTTCAAAAGTGTCAAGAATGTCTATAGCTCTAAAAGAGGTCACTAGCAATGCAGATCTCCAGCTGTATACACACCTTGGCTTCATAAACAGCCTCTGAAGAGTTCATTAGAAAGGACTCTTGAGAACTTTATTCTTTAAACTTGACTTTGGTGAGTCAGATAGGAAAATGTTTCAGAGAACTCATTACGAGGGCATATATGTTTTCTTATCCATTGTCACTGTGTAAGACTCCTAATTTTGATCCCAATTTCTCTTGCTTTTAACCGGGTACAATACTCATTGACAAATGAGTCTGTTGACTTAGAGGACGTAACATTTATTAAATAACTGGAACACTTAGACTTCTCACTGTGCCTTGCTATCATGCATTCTGAACACTAATAGGTGCTGTGAAGATGAACACAATCTCTCATAGGTGTGGCTGTGTGTAATGGCTGCCAAGACAGTCTATCCCTGAATTAAAGTGATGTCTACAGGCTGCTCCACTCCAGATATTCTTGCCCAAGTCCTGGGATATATTATTTGCTAATAACAACCCTCTCACCTCCCTACAATGACTCAATTATTTAATAAATGTAAGGCAGTGTAAGTTGTAAAAACAATAACAACACTGAAGCAATGTGACTTAGAAGGAAAAACTTGTTTTCTATCTCTGCATAGCCTAAAAGTGTGGTAGTTGCAAGAGCAATAGACTACTATTGCACTTTTAGAAAAAAATGTGATATTCTTTAAAATGGGCAAAATCAATGAGTATTCTTTCAGTGGCATGCTGAGCATTATATAAAGGCCACTAGAACAACTGATTTTGTGTTAGTGTATGCCCTAAATTTTCTTTATTAAGTGGTATTATGACTCTGTAAGTTATACAAAATAAACATTGTGTTTCCTGTCTGGTTAAAAAGCTGCTATTCATAGTTGTAGAATATTCGACAATATAATCATCTCTTTACATGATCAAATTGTGATGGGAGTGCTCAAAGCTAACCTTTTTAGCACATATGGATATTTTAAGGGGAGATCTTTCTGGTTTGATGAGGAAAATTCAGAGCATAGCCCCCCAAAGACTGAGCTCTGCATGGACTTTGTGCTCACCTGCAAAATCTCCCTGTAAAATTTCCCAAACAGAGGCAAGAATAGCCATGAGTCCCACTGATGCAAGTGGCCCCATTTGCACACTGATGGCTCTTGCAATTGTCTGTATTCACTTCACAGTTCACACCAGTGTATCCAGGCTCACACCTACAGTGGTAGGCGGCAACTCCATCGGAGCAGTTGCCATGGATACAGGGGTTAGAAAAGCATTCATCAATGTTGATTTCACAGTGTGTTCCTGACCACCCCGAGAGACAGGAACACTGATAAGAGTTATAGCTGTCTCGGCAGCTTCCTCCGTGCAGGCAGGGGCTGGATTGGCAGGCATTTAATGGCAAGCAGCCAGTAAGGACCGCATTTGTAGAGACTTTGAGAAACTGCTCTTCCTGAGGCTTAGTAATGAAACCATGAAGATTTTCAAAGTAAGAGAGATAGACGCCTCCAATTTCTATTGTGCTCAGACAGCCCCGTGGGCCTTTCATATTGTCAAAAGCTTTGTCACCCACATAGATGTCTGTGTTGTCCTTCAAAAAATTCAGGCTTCCAGTAGCAATTGTGCTGGTCACAAGAGGTGTTTGGTGGTCTACCTCCATCTGCCACCGGGAGGTCTGGGCCAGTGGGTCTATCATGGAGAAAGTCACTTGGTGCCACGTGCCATCATTCACCAATTGTAAACTCATCAGGTGCAGCACAGAAAAGCTGTTGCCACTTTGCAATTGAAATGATAATCTGGAGTCTTGAATGCTAATGTTAAGGAACTCGGGCTCTTTTTCTGCATGCAGTATCATTACATTTGTATCACTTGTTCTGAAACCAAAGGTGATGTTGGTGAGTTCTCTGGTAATATTCCCATTGCTTCTGAACAATATTTCTCTTCTTAATCCACTGAAAACAGCATTTGCAATACCTAAAGTGACAAGATGGGACTGGTTGTTACCTTCATTCATGATATTTATCATATCACTGATGTCTGTATGGTTGACACATTATGTATTGTGCTAGAGGCTATCAAGTTGTGATATATATATATATATATATATATATATATATATATATTCATTTCTTTACAAGAGAAGAACTTCAGATTCACAGAATGTGAGTAATTTGGTCATTAAAAAATAAAGCCAGAATGTCAAACCTGCCCATTGTAATACTAAAACTCAACTCATACCTTTTTTTTTTTTCAATTAAAATCTTCAGGAATGCCAATTATTGTTTTCCATTGGCTTATGTAAATGAAGTTTTGATTATCCACTTCAAAAATAAACAACTAAACACATAGAGATCAGGAATTTAGTTTCGGTGACATGCTAATTAGTTAACAATGGTCCTTGGCTTCTGATAAAGTTCACCAACATGCAGCTAACAAGAGCATTCATAATGATGGATTGATTTAATGCTGCAAAAAACTCCAATTACATGCCCAGGTACCAACTTGCCACCTATGACCATGTAACTTCATGTGGTTGGAAAAAAATAGAAAACAGTAGCACTTTACATTCACATATTGCACCAAATATAGCACTTTTGATGGTCTTACTGCATTTATTAATCTATTAAAATTGCTATAGCATCATTAATTCACAGTTTGTTCTATCTCTAAAATATGTAGCCCTATGTCTGCTTATAGTGTCCTATATACACCCTTGAGACAGGAGGAGAAATGGAAGTGCCCCAGCTTTCCACCAAACCTGTCAACCTAATTAATAGTGTCCGGCCAGCTTTCTTTCCAGCATTACAACAGACACCCTGTCCTTATTCCCTCCAGAGGTCAGGCTTTCAAGTCCCGTGTTGGGTACCATTCATTTTCACTATTTTTAGTCATTTTCCTATGTGCACCCATTTTTTACCCTGCACTAATATTTACCTTCTCTTTGTGTCATTTTTCCCCATTACAGTTCAAATATGCTACGACTGCTGAGAATTAAAAAAAAAAAAGAAGAACCCACAAGACCCCATAGCACTACTACCCTGATTGCCCTCTTATTTCTCAGTTCCTGTTACCATAAAGGTATTATCTTAATGGTCTGTATACTTATTCCAATTTTCTCATCTCCCATTTTCTCTGATTTTGTCCTTACCACTTCACTGAAATTGCTCCTGTCAAGGTCACAATGACTTCTGCGTTATTCAATCTAGTGGTCAATTTGCTGTTCTCACTTTTCAAGAGCAATGATCTGAAAACATGGTTAGGGACTTTCCTTGCCGGGCTCTGTACCAGCTACCATCACTGGTCCTCTGAAAAAGTGCTTCTGAGTTTCCCTGCTTCTGTGGTTGCTGCAGATGACTCTAACAACCACTTCTTAGTTCAAGACAGAAATTCTAAACAGCATGCTCCAAGTCTATGGGATCTGACCCCTGTTTCACTACTTCCAGTTCATAGCATTCTCTTCCTCAGTCACATGCCACAGTCACAAAAGCAAGGAGCTTGTCCCAACCCAAGCCCTTTATACTCTCTGTAACTTAAACCTGGAATATCCTTTCTCCAGCGCTCCCCATGCTCAGGATCTCCTCAGGGCTGCTGTCTGCTGGAATGTCACCTTCCCTCGGCCATCAAAGTTCAAATAGGTCTTCCTTGCATCCTCCTTCTGGTCTACTACTGATTTATTTCATAGCTCCTGTTGCCATTGGAAACAGGGTTTTACTCTTTTTTTTTTTTTAACTCTTTCTGCTCTAGTGCATGAGCTGTATGGCATCAGATGTCCTTTCTATAGAAGTGTTCATTCAGTCCCTTCCCTGAGATTATTGCCTGGTCTTCAATAAGTGTTCATTGAGCATTATTAAGGGAATAATCTGGGGAATTACATCACATCTTACTTTGGAAAGTGAGACAATGATTAAAATCACATCAGGAGAAAAAAGTGAAAAATTCAAGCACTATAATTTAAATATAGTGTTTGACTAAATTTTTTAAAAAATCTCATTTAATTTCACTGTTCGTTTATTTTATTTTTTCCTTACCAGATTTGGGGAAGGAATGTGGGAGGGCATAAACAAACATCTTATTATGTATTTTTTAAGCAAATGGTGAGCCATCCAATCTCATCATCTCTTTGTGGTCTATCATGCTTTGTAGATCTATTTAGCAAGTCTGCCAGAGATGGTGGAACCACCTCTTGTGATCTAGGGAAAATGCTCAATACATTTTTATATCTTGCCTGTGCTTTGGTAAGCTTTGCTTCGATAAATAACGCTTATCCCTAGAGAGCTGTAAAATTTCAAATCTTTGTTTAAAACTTGCTATGACTAGGAGATTAAGTGAACTAAAGGTAAACTATGAGCTGTATCAAGACTGCTTTAACCAGGCATCGTCTTCCCAATGCACTTTGCTGTTGCTACTGGAGAATAGGAGACTTTTGAGCATATCTTTAGAACCACCATTTCTGAATAATGAGAAGGGATTCAAATTTAATTTGAACATAGAGCATCGGTTATATATGGACTGTGTATTATTTGACCTCAGGGGGAAGACAATATATAAACCATAGTGCTTAGTTCAAAATCATGACCTATATTCAGATTAGAAGATGATTCACAAGGAGGGGAACAGTACTACAAAGAGTAAGCCTATACCTAAATCATATCATGATACATATAGGGCATACACAAAGAAACATGCAGAGTAGGCATTGTTTTCCCTATTTTAGACATGAGGAAGCTTTAGATTATGGTGGCCATGTGCATAATCAGTGAACAGCAGCGAGGCAGGTGTGCACGTTTACTGTGTTTTCTCAGTATCGAGAAAGCAAAGGCAGATATTGTATGTTTAGTTTTTCACAAATTAGATTGAAATAATCAAAGAGCTGGGTTTGTTGTTGCAAAGGCTCATTTTCTCACTCAGAAACTAGGGCCAGTGGTCATGATATTGGTCACACCAGGCTTATTAAACTTCTCACATAGGTTTCTCTAAGGTGTCTATACCTGAATTCTTTTCTTCACTGTCTCTTGTTTGGACAATTGAAATGTACCCACTAAACTGGATGGACAACAGCTTTGAATGCTACCTACATTCAAACCCTGGAGGAACCAGCTGGCACTGTGCACTGGGAGGACATGGGTTGAGTTGACACCACTGAACTTCCTGGCAGGCTTTCCCGGTCGTATTTGCAGGGCAGGAACAGGAGAAGTCATCCCACAGGGAATAGCAGACACCTCCATTATGACAGGGGTTGGACTGAGAAAAATAGAAAATCAAAGGGATGAAAAGCAATGGCAATGAAATATGGAAATGTTAAAGGTGAGATCATCTGTTACTTTAAAATGCCAATTCCCCCTACATCTTTGCAATTTAGATGCTTTGCACATTGTTAATAATATAGAATAAAGCTGACTACTACCGTTTCCATTTGCTTACTAAAAGAGCAGAGGAAAGAGCAATAGACAGAGGTATGGGAGAGATAAAAGGCAAAGAAACAACAGAATGAAAGAGGAAAAGAGATACTATAAAACTGATCTATGGCACAAGGAGGATTATTGAAATAGAATGATGTTCTCCATAATTTACGAGTTACATGCACTTTGCACACATTTATTATCACTGGTTAGGATGATTATTATGCCTGGGTGCCTCTAGTTGCCCAAGATCCCATAACCAGGCGAAATAGTGAGGACTGGTCCTCCATCCGGTATGTCCCAGTTTAACACCTCCCTCCCCATTAGCCTTGCTTCTGCATCAGCAACACAGTATTAGTTCAGTTCCCAAGGCCACTCAGAGAGCAGTCAAAATAAAAACATTTTTAAAGTATTTGTTTAGCACCTGCACTGCATTTATCCAAGGTCTATTAGTAAATGATTTTGCCTGGTTATATACCCTCCTTTCTTTCTTTATACTTCTGAGGATAAAACACAGTCTTTAAGCGTGCTAAGCATGTACTATACCACTGAGCTACACACTGAGAACATTATGTGGTTTTATAAACCTTAATTTCTTCATCTGTAAATATATAAATTAGATAACAATGTTCCTTTCATATAGTAGTCTTTTGAGTATAATTAAATGGATTAATTCATGTGACATCACTTCAATTATGAGAAAAATATTACTACAAGAGTATTACAATAGTTCATTCATGTATATTAGAACTGAGTCTTGTATACAGTAATTATTGGGGCTCATGGATGGTCAAGTCATGTCAGTGTGTTTCCTTCTTTTACCCCAAAAGGTCATGAAGAGCTAACCATCTCACGTATTTGAAGCTATTTAGAAGACATGAAAAGTATTTGAAGCAAAGCACTGGCTCTGAGAAATCATATGTCAAAGGATTTCAAAAACAACTACCAAAGGGGAACTGAAACTTTCTGGTTGACTTAATGGAAGAAGCTGGGCATTGACATCAAATTTAGTGGGATCTTCTAAAATGAATTGGTTTGGCTAAACCTATAGAATACCATTAAGACTTTGTAGCTTAAAATACTATTATTCTTAGAGAAGTTGATTATTTTTGGGAGCAGGAGAAGCATGTGACTGAAGTTATGTTGGCTGTGACAGATTCATGATGTCAATAAAAATCAATGTCACATTTTCATGGTTTGTTATAATTCTACCAATCTTTCCTGAGATATGTAGATGCAAACTATTCCATGACTGGTGGGTGATCAGCATTTTGTTCATATAAAATGGTTCAGTGGGGTGTGGTGGCATACACCTGTAATCCCCACCCACATATGGGAAAGTGAGGAAGGGAAGCTGTGAATTCAAGTCCATCCTGGGCTACATAGTGAGTTCTGTGTCTCAAAAACCAAGAACAAAAGCAGAATGGTTATGATAAATAAATAAATAAAATTTTAGTATGCACTATGTGTATAGTTGATATGCATTACCCTACCTACCTTACAGATGTTATCTCCAGGACAACCTTGAGTCACATTGACAAGAACTGGATCATTGTATCCATTGCTTGTTGAATTGGGGAAGAATTCCAGATTTTGGTTGTTTAATCTTATGTCTTGAATACAGCCTTTGAAGAAGCCACCATACACTTCAGTCTTTTGTTTTTCAGGCAGGCCACCAATGAAGATGACATCTCCTCTTCCAATTGTCCATGCAGGAACAGAAATAAATCCTAGGTTTTGTGAAGACTCATATAGTTTAATTTCATTTGGTTTGATTTTCAAAGATATTAAATGGGCATTTCCATCGCTAAGAAAAAAATTCAATACTACCTTGGGAGGGCCTGGAGTTTGCAGTGCTAGGCTTCCATGCTCTAGCCAGACACGGACATACTGGTAAGTACTGTTTTCCAAAGCCAGAAGTAAGCCCGATGGGTGGCGTGTTCTGACAAACATGGAGAGACTAACGTTCTGTCCATGATTCTCATCAACATTAAAGATGGCATATCCAGGAGAGTCATCCTTGCCGAAACTGCCTGCTACATACTCTTCAACGTCAAAATAGGGAAGGAGAGAGAGAGAGAAAGAAAAATCTTTACATTCAAATGTGAGAAGAGACAGAAGATGGGATTTTTGCAGGCACACACAACCAGAAATTCTGCAATGATCAACTAAAGAACATTCCCATCTCCTCTCTAAAATCCAACTGAGGAAACAGTAGACACTGCTTCATCATGGTGAAAGAAAGATGTGAGCGTGATCACGTCATGCATCTCTGTGGAGCACTGCCCAGGTTCTCTCTGCTGTGTGGAGGTATGCTAAAGCAGACGTGTCATGAAGTTGCACTGCTCTGTATAAAGACAGAGGCCAATGGTAAGATTAGCAAGCTCAATTGTGGGAAGGCGCCCCATGTAGTAAGAGACAAGGCAGTTGGGGAAAGAGATTTTAGGGGGGTGAAGTGTTCAGTTGTGTTCACTGACTGAGGTCAAGTATGAGAAGAGCTGAGAGCTGACTATTGAATATGCAACGCAGAAATTATTGCTGAGCTTGACAACAGCACTCTTGTAAAGATATTGCTGCTTTGGGTTTTCACATCTCAGTTGTAACCAGGAAAAAAAAAAGATCATATCCTATCATGGTTAGATATCATCACCAATTGAAGTTTGTGCGAAAGTAAGACATATTTTAGTTTAGCTGAACCATAGTGAATCTTGCTTAGACAACCATCTGTGTTTGAAGACCTTCTGCATAAAAGGCTACATTTTCAGAACTCTGACTTGATTCCTATAGGAGCATTGCATTGTGAATCTGCATTTGGACACCACCTGCTCCAGGCAACTACAGGTAGCTTTCAAAGGTACTGTCAGATAAAATAACCTCTTTGAAGAGGTTAACATCTCTGAACACACTGCGGCACTTTTGTATAGGATAAAATGCTTAATAAGAAAATTGGGCTCTTGAAGCCCTTGAGTTTTGAGGGTAGGCACAAAAATCCGTCAAGCTCAGGGGGCCGGGCCCCTGCTGGTCATCCTAGGATGCCTGCAGCATCACTTTGTGGATCAGAATAAAAGACAGGATGCAGAGATGGGTTTCTTTTTTTCCTTAGAAACTTGACTCTCCAGTAATCCTATTCTTCAGAAATCAGAAGCAGGTAGTCGGAGTGTGTGATGTGCTACATGATTTTAGAAACACCATAAGCCACATAGGAAGGACTTGGCTACGAGCATGGGAGATTTGATTCTAATACACATTTCCGATATGTTCTAAAGATGTATGGATGGAAAAAAAATAATTTGACAAATTTCAATGATGGATGGACTACAGGATGGAATGTAATGAGAATAAATAGGAGGCATTTATACTTAAATGTGACTCATCAGCTTAGGATAGAAGAAAGAGAACTCCGTAGCCTCACAAATGACAATGACTAACAAAAGGCGACGTGTAAACAATGCGCCACACAGTTAATGTGATGCTAATATGACAAATGACAGCATATTATATAGAAAGTTATGGCCCTATGTCATGGTGTCATCAGGCACACTTAGGTATCACCTTTTAGAGAGATGCAAATGTATGGCAAAAGGAGCAGGCAGCCGATGAAGTCTCGGGGCCATGCCATACGGAGACGCTAGAGGGAAGTAACATGTGTAAGAAGGATGATGGGAGTGGTTGCTGGGTGTGAAATATTTTTCTTCAAATGTTTAGGAATTCCCAAGAAGAGATATTAATCCTTAAGTGAGAACATCCCCAATGAAAACTGTTTGAGAAAATGACAGCTTTGGGTAAATCTCGGTCAAGATAAATGGAACGAAGTAACTGCTTGGAAATTTGGAGCAAGATGGAACAGAGAACTCTGTTTCTGAAGGAGGTTCAAAGCAGAGGTTTGCATGAAGCTACTGAATGAAGCCCTATCAAACCTAACGGAGGAAGGTAAACATCTACAAGTTGCTTTTTAAAAATAGATACTTTCCAAATAAAGCAAGAGATGTGTGATACATATTACACTTCTGAACAATATTCCAGAACCCCTGTTCTGACACATAACACAATACATAAGATGTTAGCACATCAGACAGTTCAGGGCCCCATGCAAACCTTCTCAAAACCTCCTTACAGGGCATAAATGATTTTTAGGAATATCAGCTTCAAGATATTGTCAATCTCTATACCTTTTGTGTTACTCAGACAAGAAAACCCTCTACCCAGCCTGTCTTCTTCTTTCACTGTGTTTGCCAGTGGTAAACACTGTTTCCAAATCATTATTTGGGGACTGGAGAGGTGGCTCATATGGTGAAGAGCACTTGCTGCCCTTGTAGAGGACCCCAGTTGGTCCCAGTAGCCACATCAGACAGTTCAAAACTATCTTTAGCTCCCGCTTCAGCGGGATCTTCAGACCTCAGCAGGTACCTGCCCTAGTGAGGTATATAAATGACCCCCTCACACACACATAAAACAATAAAATATATTTTAAAAAATCATTATCTGGGTGGCTCGCTATCCAGATTTTTGGTATGTCTCATCTTGAATATATATATATATATATATATACATATACATATATATAATATATACATATATATTAGCAAATATATGTATAAAATATCAGACATACTCTAAGTTCTCATTTGTACTCTTAAGCATTTGTGTGTATATGTGTGAAAGGAATGAAATACAGAAAACATTCCCTTATATATACCAGCAGTACAAAATATTTTAACTTGGTGATTCAGTGGTGATATGAAAAATATAACTTTGCTTTAAACTTTCCCCAAAAATTTCCAGAAAGGAAGAGTTTTATGAAATTCCTGCCCTATATTTTTTTGATGCCCCAAAGTAGGGTTAAACAGTTGCAAACAGTATGAGGACAGAGGATGTAATCACACTCAGTGTGCATAGAGGGGTATAATCAGACTATTTAGGGAATATGGAAAGTGTAACCAAATCAGGAATTTGGTTTTAAAAGTTCATTATTTTCCAAGTTAGAAAAAACTATAAAGAAAACCAGAACCCACTGGATTGGCATCTCTTGAATCTGTTTCCTAGGACAGTCAGCATCCCCACGGTCAGTGTTAACCTCACGGGTCACCGCATCTGGAAGCCAGTCAAAATGAGTCCGCATCTGTTTGTTATTTTGTATATGTAGTAAAAATATTGCCTTGGGTCAATTAGATTTTTCTTCAAAAAGTGGACCGTTTCCTCGGCATAATTTCACCTTTTCTCCTTTAAAAATAATCACAAAACAACTCGCCATGCCATTTAAAATATTACATAGGGCAGCAGATGCCATGCCTCATTGTCAAACAGGTCCATGATTGTAATGAATATTGTGGTGAGGGGTAAACCTGCGAATGGTTTCTAATAATTCTTAGCCATTGAACATGGAGTAGGGTATAGGCTGCGGCTGGTTCTAATTTTACTTCATATAAAACAGAGGAGACTATTTACCAGATGCTATCCTACTTGGACTTATTCTAAAATGGTGGAGTAAATTGCAGCTGAACTTCAAAGCTGTCTGTTAGAGTTCCCTCTCAGGCCTCTCAATGCACGATAATAATAATAATAATAATAAAAGTGAGCAGATATGTATTGATTGCTATCAGTGGCAGTCTTTGGAGTTGAAATACATTTCTAACTGATATGGTAGAGGAGTAGGATCGACTTGTGTATGCCAACTACCGAGTTTTACTGATAACACATTTCCTGTCTTCCTTCTGTCTCTACTGATGACATCTCTCTGTATTGTACATAAGATCTTGGAAGAGATGGTTTTGAATAGAACTGATGGCTTGTCAACCTGCTAATCTTAAGCACGATTCCTAAGGAAGTACAAACTTCATAGAGAGGAAGCAAGGAAGTGGATATTCATTGAGACTCTTGCAGGCACAGGATGCAGTACCAGCATGTGGCTCTAAAGTTTTGTGTCTAAAGCTCCCAATTCTCCCAAACATTACATCTTGTCCAAATAAGGTTTTTCACCCATTTCTGATATACAACAAACAGCAAAGTTCTAAGAGCATTTTACCAACTAGATGAAACACTATTTTGATAGGAACTGTTAGCTTATTGTAATTTATTATTATTATTATTATTATTATTATTATTATTATTAAATACTTTTCAGCCCAAGTAAAGCTTAGCTGTCCTCTGAAACCAACTCAGAATTAATACATGTCACCGCTGTCTCCTTTTATCTCTTAGTGAACAAGCGTCAGTGTAAGGCCTGAGGGCTCCTTATGTTTCATAACAGGAGGTAGCTGCCTGGGAGTTTCTGAGATGGCTCTGCTCTGAGGCACCGCACGCCTGGGCACCCCACTCCTCTCACCTTTCAGGCAGTTGGAGCCTGTATAGGGCCTGTCACATTCACACTGATAACCCTGCCACAAGTTGATGCAGCGTCCTCTGTTCTGACAAGGTTGACGTTCACACCAGTCCTTTCTTGTGCAGCCTGCTTTGACATTTTGTGACAAGCTAGACGAAATGTTCTCCAGAGTGATGTGGTTCGAATCAAATTTAATATCTTGGAGACAGCCTACAAAGGAAGGTGTGGATGGCACATTATAGATGTTAAGCACAGACACACTGTTGCTGGTTGTTCCCACTGGTAAGCCACCCAAAAAAGAGTTTGGAGAAGTACATATTGACTGATGATTCTCCACTGGAAAAGAAGTCTTGGTGGTGCATTTCCCCTTGCAGGAGCTGCCAGTTAGGGTAAGGGTTATAATTTCCGCAAATGTCACCTCCACCGAATGCCATTCTCCATCACTAGTGTTGTGGGAAATATATAGAAGCACCTTTGACTGATTCCGGACTTGTATTGATAAGTGAACACAACCGTTTAGCAATTCCAGCTTCATAGACATATCCCTGTTGCCTCGGAAAAGGAGAAGTGTGTTTAGTTGAACAGTCTGAAACCTCAAGGATATGTTACAATCTGACTGTCTGGTTGTATGTGAGCCACTTGTGACCCACAGGAAGCCGTTGCCCTCAAAGGAAAGTGTGGTATCAGTTCCACACAGCGTCCCAGCATAGCCAGAAGGACATTGGCAGGTGAATCCATGCTGGCCATTTTCAAAGTGAGGGATGCATTTTCCATGATTGAGACAGTGGTGATGAGTGCAGCCCAGGAGAACTTGAGAACAGTCTTCTCCTCCATAAAAGGTCCTAGAAATGTCATCCAAGGGGCAATGGCAGGTATAATTTCCAGGTAGGTTCTCACAAGTGCCACCATTTTGGCAAGGGTTTGGTAGACATTCATCAATGTCTTCTTCACAGTGGATTCCTGTTAAACAATAAACAATAGGTTAAGCATATACATACTCACATAGACATATAGAATCAAATCATTAGTAGAAGTTTCATTTTAGATAGAATCAAGAAGTTCAGACCAAGTTCATGGTTATAAGTGTGATGGAGTAAAACGTAATTCCTGAGGAAACCAAAATCAGTTATATTATTCTACACATACTGTGAAAAGAGCAGTCATGGCAGACTTAGACTTCTTCTAGGAATAGAACATTTGTCAATTATAGCAATCATCTCAAGCTACCATTGTCAAGTATACATATGGCATTAACATGAAAACAAAACAAAAAGAGGAAAGCTGCTTTTGGCAATGATCCTAGATTAAAAAATGATGAATTTGTGGATGCTTTTCTATGTTCCTATTTATCCTGTTATTTTCCTCTCTTCTATTTGGAAACAGTGATTGCTTTCTTATTGTATCATCCTGTAACACTTAGAACCAAAGTGTGCCAGATGTATAGACACAGACATCTCTCACAGCAAAGCTCCTCAGGCAGATGGAAGGGCCCACTCTTTTTCATGCATTCCTATACAAAATAAGACATCTATTCTACAAGTTACCACTGAAAATTTTTATTTCGCTTTGACACAATGTTGGTCTTGATTTCAAGAAAAATAGAACAATATCCATAAAAGAATTATTAAAACTATTTTAATCAAGCTGACAAGAATGTGACAGTGTGCTTATTAGTTTTTGAAAATTGGCACAAGCTAGGGTCACTTGGGAAGAAGGAGTTTCACTTCAGGAATTGCCTCCATCAAAATGCCCTGTGGGGGCATTTTCTTGATTAATGGTTGATGTGGGAGGGCCCAGCCCACTGTGACTTGTACCATTCCTGGACAGGTGGTCCTGGGTTCTAGAAGGAAGCAGGCTGAGCAAACCATGAAAAGCAAGCCAGCAAGCAGCTTTCCCCGCTGGTCTCTGCCTGAGTTCCTGCCTCCGGGTACCTGCTTTGAGCTCCTGCCCTGGCTTCTCTCAATGATGGAAAAGAATCTACAAGCCAAAACAAACCATTTCCTCCCCCAATTTGCTTTTGGTAAGTATTTTATTTCAGTTGCAGACATCAAACTAGGACAAACAGTTTTTAGGAGGGGCTACAAAGGCAAATGAGCAAAACCAAATTGACATATGTTGTACACTATGATTTTTTTTTCCAGTACCTTCATCCACATTGCATTTCTGTTCCCAGCCATTTGCGGTTTGCAAGGCACATGTTCTTAACTCTTTTTGCAGAAGAAATTGATGTTTAGAAAGTCAAAAGACAAAGTTCTAAAATATTTCTACAACCTGAACCTAACTCATGTTTTCAAATCCAGTCTGATAATGACTTAACTGATAATCATGTGTTACCAGTCATTCTGGGTACTAATATGTGTATGATATTTTCCCAGTTAGGCCTATACCCACATTTTTTATTTTGTACATATGATACTAATATTATAAAAACAAAGAGAAGGAGGAAAAGTCTTCTTCTGGTAATGACCCTAGATACAAATGTGGACTCTTTCCTCGGGCACTGTGCTCCCTGTTATTTAACTTTCTATTACAAACCTGTCCTACAAAGGTTCCCATCTTGAGAGTGTTGGGTGCAAAGCACAGCTAGGTGATGCGTGATCTTTAGCAGATTGAATCCTTCACTTTGAAAGTCTTACTTTCCTCATCAACAAAATAGGAACAAAAATGCCATTTACATGACAAAGATTTTCATAGGCTGACTCAAGTCATGTAAAGGACTGAGAATCTGTTTGCTGTGCAAGTTCTCAATAGATGTTGACTATTACTAGAAAGTAATAACCAGAAGATTTACCCTCACTGGCAAAATTCAAATAGTGCTTGGTCACTGAAAGATAATTTACAAAGTGTGGGTTACTTGTTCTGCCCTACAAATCGAAAAGTCTTGAAATAATAATATAAAGTAAATATGAGAATTACAGTGTATTTAGTCTAGAATCTCATTAGACTCTAAATTCCGCTAGGGAAAGAAAATGTGTTTTATTCATTAATCAGCATCTAAGCCTTACTTTAATACTTGGCTCATATGTGAAAATCCCAAGAACCCCTAAAACGAAAGATTCATTTGATAATTAATCTTTTAAATGATTAATTAATGATTTTCCTAAAGTAACAAATATTTTATAAGGGATTAAATTTTATCCGAAACCTAAAGTGTACTTTCTACGTATGCTTACTAATTTAGGAAATGATAATTTTTCACTGCCCGCCAGCACTTATGTACCAGACATTTAGGTAATTGACTGGGAGGTTTCCATCATACTTATATTTTACCTTACTTGGATTGATTTCCCAGAAGCGCTGCTAATTCAAAAATATTTTAAGTTCTGTGAGAATGGTGAAGTACTATAATTTTACTTAAAGTCTCCCACAGTGCCGGAATAGTGCTGAGGGCACATGTTATAAATACTCTATAAATAGAAAGAATAGAGTTGGATGGGGTTGATCTGTTTTATGGATGTAGAGAATGAATATAACATGATAAGTAAAAATTAACTATAAAGGAGTATTCTAAAGAAATTTTAACTACATCAAGAGTTTGATTTTTGTATTAGAAGAAATTTTCCATAAATTTGATTTTTACATATTTGTACAAGAAACCATGCTGGTTTCTTGTACAAACCAAAAGAAATTTTGTATTTCACCAAAAGAAATTTTTGCCAGGCATTGTAGACATGCTCCTAATCCCAGTGTTTAGGAGGTTGAGGCCAGTCTGGGCTATACAATGAAGGTTAGGATAGCCCCAGCTACACAAAAAGACCCTATACCAACAATAGACACAAACAGGAAATTTCTTTATAGACACACAACCTCAAATTCCCTCCCAAGAACATTTATCTACCCTTGAAATTCACCTAAGCTCTAAAAGCTTGAAGCTTATTATTGTGATAGTCTGCATTTTAATTTCGCCTAGAATTTAGTTTGGTACCTACAGCAAAGCATCTTAACAACTAATTAAACATTCAATTTACAGCTCTTTAAAATTTGCAAAGTACGACTCTGTGTCCTACTCTCACAGAGTATTGTGGGAAGTGGATGGATGTGGAAGCCAAAGACCGGGCTTTGATGTGATTACAGTATAATGGTGCGACATAAATGTGATTATAGTATTATTGTTTTGGAATTTATGAGAATACGTTGCACACAGCAGCCTTCCAATGGGGGCAGACAATCTGTAAAGAGCAAACTCAGGCACCGCCAAACCATATTTAGATACATTCTAGTGAAGGCTTTGAATCAGAGACAGTGAACAACATTGAGACATTAAAACTAATAATTAAAATCAAATAAACCAATAACAGTGTCATATAGACCATGCACAAAGTCATGTAGGCATCATGAAGCGACAATGAAGTCTGACTGAGCTTAATGAAGGTAGGAAATGTGTGGAAAGAAAACGGCAGTGTGGGTAATTGCACACCCACTGAATTGCACAGGTAAAAACGACTGTAGCCTAGCGGCCCCACTTCAGGATGGCCTGGAAAGGTTTAGGGAACTAAGGTTGAATCTACATTTCAGATATAAATCAGAGGGGCCAAAAAAAAGTCATTATGTGCATAAATTAGCAAAGAAACAAAACACGCTGGATGGAAAATATGAAGACATCCCTAAGCGGTGGTTGTGTTTGGCAAACAGGCTGCCATGGAAGATTCATGGAGGAAGATCGAGTTAGAAAGCTTAGCCCAATGCAGCCAGATCGGAGAGCTGGAGCTTACAAAGTTTTTATTGTTTTATTTACTTACTTATTTACTTTTTGGCAGTGGGAAACGAGGGGGTAAACGTGGGCTGGAAGACCAACGTGGTCCCTTCCAAAGGTCAGTCCCACAGGGATGAGCAAAGAGAAAGAAACTAGAGACGGGAAGACGCGCCAGGAGCAGTTAAAACTCCACAAGGAAGACGATCAAGGCTGGAAATAGAATGTTTATTTCCCTCTAGTTCAAGTTGTCTTGAATTGTATCTGTTCAGCATATAAATATCGACAACAGTGCTTTCTTTACAGTTGTTACTGTATTTTTATTACCCCTAGAATATACAGATATGATCTTTCACAAAATACCAATCACCTGGCAAAATATTTCCCTTATATATAAAAAAATTAAATTTTGCCATCATTTCAAAAGAAGGGAAGAGAAAGCCTGTGTTGATATTAAAAGTCTGAAGGATACATAGAATAAGTGAAAGCAGAGGGCTGCTGAGACGTGTGCTCCTGTCTGTTTAAAATCAGATCTACAAACATCACACCAAATAAGGTCAGATTATTGGATGAGCTCGGTCAACTAAAGGTGGGAAAAACACATTGAAAATTCTTTCCCTGGAGCTTGAGAGATGGCTCAGTGGTTAAGAGCACTGACTGCTCTTGCTGAAGACCCATGTTGGACTCCCAGCACTCACACAGTGGCTCATAGCTGCCTGTAGCTACTGTCTCAGTGGATCTAATCCCCTCTTCTGACCTCCACAGGGACCAGGCACACACGTGGTGAACAGACATACATGCAAGGCAAATCATTTCATACAGTAAAAGTAAAATATAAGACACAAAAATTTTAAAGAAAGAAAAAGAAAATTCCTTCACTGAGAATCTCACTGACTGGGCAGAGGAAAAGGTCTGCTGCCTATGAACATAAAAGGATTAGGTGATATTCATGGGATTACACCTGTCTTTCCATTGGTGGTATTTTAGTAGCTGTTATTTGGTTGCTCATGTCTAAGTGTTGATGAATGATATAGATTGCTTAAAGTTTAGTATTGTTTTAAATCAATTTCATTAACTAAAATCTTACTACTTATTTTTCTAAAATTCTAATATAGCATATAGTTCTATAGTAGTACCACATTTAAAAATAATCATGACAGAAAAATCCCCACCACCTGGTAAATTGCAAACATTAATCAGAATACATAATATTTGTATTCTGGGAGTCAGACATGGTGGCACATACCTGTAACTCAAGCCTTCGGAAAGC